CCGCCGTCCTGCCTCTGCTTGCAGGAGGGGCGGTGGAGCAGGACGGAGGCGTGAGGGGAGCTGGGCGCGGGGGCCGCCGCAGCTGTCCCCGGGTGGCGGTGGGGTCGGGCACAGAGCAAATGCGTTTCCCTGGGCCTGTCGGGTTTCTCTGCCCCCGCAGCCGTCACGTCCCGAAAGCTGTATCGCTTTGGCTGTTCTAGTAAAGGTTTTCTGGAAAACGGCGTTGTCAGAAAGTACTCTTCCAGTTTCAGTTGTTTCCTACCCCCATAACATCCGAAAATACAAACCATTCTATTATGATGTGTATTCACAGATGCTTAGTAGCTGGTGATTCTTGAAAACTTTTCCTTGAATAAAAGATTTTTCAGGGTGGCTATTTTTTTGTTTTGATTCTGCATTTTCCTCACCCAAAATTGTAGGGAATTGCAAACAGGAGTTTATTTCAAAGTAATATGTTACAAAGAGTTAAAAGCATTTCAAGCAACATGTTGCTTAACTTAGACTCTTGTTATGGTGTCTTATTTAGGTAGGTACTAAAGCTTTGGAAAAATGTACTTTGGAATATCTAACTGGTCATACTGTTATAATTCATAAATCATTTACCCATAGTGATCCTATTTTTTTCAAGAGCTTCCTTCCTAGCTAGGAAGAAAATGTCAAGTAAATTCAGGTGGGAAACAGGTGTCTGATGGAGTAGTGGATCACCACATTTTCCTGTATTGCAGCATCTGTCTGCCATTTTCTCTAGTCAAAATACAGATTAAATCAGATTTGGGGGCCGTTCTGCAGGTTTGGGTCTTTGTATGCTGTTCTTTTTTTTGGGGTTGGTTGTTGGTTTGGGGTTTTTTGGGGGGGGGCGGTAGTGGTGTTTTTTTTTCCCTGTGTTCAGATATATCAATTACACACATACATTATAAATTTACCTTGTAGGAGCAACTGGTCATGGTGGAACTATCAGGAATTATTGATTCAGACTTCTTAGAAAAATGTGAAAACAAATGCAAGATTTTGGTGAGTGATTACAGCACAATAGGAAAGGGGTAAGTCAGTACACATGTGAGCAGGGGACTCAGGCTGTTTCTAAATTCCTTGAAGTCAATAACATTTAGGTCAAATCTTTGATAAAGAATTATGTGTGCTGTCTTGGGAGTATTTGGCTGCATGAGGTCTGTCTATTTCAGAAATGGCCTATGGTCTTTGAATATAGTAGTATGTAAATGTAAGGAAATATTTTCAAAATATGTAAGCTAGGACCATTATCCCTTCTGATATCAAGCTGTAAGTTCCTTTTTTTAAATGATGTATTTCACACATTCAAAAAAATACTGTTAAGCACACTTCTTCAAATAATTTGAATACAGCTGATGGATAAAGCAAAAATCTTTCTGAATTGCACTGTATTTACAACAGGGTTTTTTGCAGATACTGCCTGGCAAGTTCAAGTGTTGAAAACATAAAGGTTAACTGGATAGTAAGCATTTGGTCAACAGTTTTGCATGTTTGCTTCACTGTGAGGTTATTGTTAGAATCTGGCTTAATTGCCCTTTTCCCTTTGAGTTGTTTCATCACTCTCTGTATGGGACAAATTTCGTTTGCCCTTGAAAACCTATGTGTGCTGTATAGATAGTACAAGTACTATCGATTTGTGAATACTTTATTAAACTAGACCTTTATTACAGACTGAAAAGATGGAAGAGAACATCTCGGAGTATGCCACTGATCAGAATATATGTGAGGTGGTAAAATCAATTGTGAAAATCTCAAATGTGGAAATACAATTGAAATTCATAATTTATCCATCACTGGATGGATATGCTTTTATAAACATTTGCTTCCTGGATCTGACCCAAGCTACTTGAAATGTATTACACAGATGATTCATTACTGGTGGCTGAATGGCTACATATTCTTCGGTAATGTTAATGGGATTCTTTTAAGTTTTGTGCTTTGAGATTCTCTTGTAATGTTACTTGAAAAACTTTGACGTATCTATACTGTATCCTACTCGCATCCAAATCTACCTCTGCTTGCTCCACAGAGGAAGCATTCCTTGAGATTTTTCATAATGGACAACTGTTATTGAAACTCCAATAAAAGATTCTGCTTTCTGTTATTCTGTTTAGCAAGTTTTCTGTGATGCTGGTTGCATAAGGGGAAGACAGTCTCCATTTTTGCATAGTCCAAAAGGAATGCAAATTAGCCAAAGAAATAAAAATTTGAATATTAAAAACCTTAATGATGTTGCCAACTATTGACAACAAAGAAACCAAAAAAGTCTTCTACGTGTTAGCGTAATGCTGTTGATGTTCTCAACTTATGCAGCAGAAAGAGAATCCCAGAGCTTAAATCTTGCTGATCTTAGGTAGTTGTTTTTTTAAAAGTGCGAGATGAAAATTGCATACATTCCTATTAACCTGTGTGATACTCTGTATTTTATGCAATTCACCACATAGTCCCTCATCTTCAAAACTTTTAGTATGTGCTTATCTTCTTATCCTGAATAACACTGATGTTCATGATGTAAAAGACATTTTGCCTTAATTATTTTATTCTGTTCAGGCATTAATTTTTATCAAAATACAGTTTATAGGTATATCTTGTATTAAGAATAATGAGATCCTGGCCTGTGTATTTGAAAAAGCTTTGCTGTAGAGGAAGGGAATGAGCTGCTGGAATAGAACTGCTGCGTTTCTCTCCCACTCCTTGTTTAAAAAATAAAATTAAATAACAACAATTTCTAACTCCTTCACAATGTAGACACACAGTAATCACAGACGCTTCTGTGACCCTGCAATTGCACTTCTGGTGCTGGTGTAATGCTTTATGCCAGACTTCTTTACCTTGGGTATTTTCCAAAGACTTTTGAAAGTTATTCCACTTTATAGAACACGTATTAATTGGAGCTTAGAAGTTAACATATTTTTTCATGCAAGTACATAAATTTGTATTTGTTAATTTAAAATGGAGGTCCTAGAGGAAATAACAGCACTTAAAATGTATTTACTGTAACCTAAATAGACCATTGGCTGCTAAATTTCTTTGATCCTTTTTAACATACTAGAGCATTTTCTGTACTAGTTCAGTATTGTTGGTTTTGTTGTGATTGCTAGAACAGTATTATCTGGTATATTCTTTGTATTTAATATACTTAAAGTAACGTGTATTATGATAGACTGAAAAATTGTCGTTACTTTTTTTTTTTTTAACAGTACACTGATTCTACAGTAAGATTGCCTAAACCTCATGTGGCAGTTGTTATCACTGCTTAACTGAGCCTCCTACAAAAACAGAAAGAAAACTCCTCCCCCCGCCCCTGATGTTTAACATTGCAGAAGACCTCAGGGTCAATTGTAACGACGAAAACTACTTTTATTACATTTTTTGAAAACTAATATTAATTTAATTGCATGTTTTGCCATTCTTTCAAGAGTCTCCTAGCTTCTATAAAATCATATCCTCTGCAGAACTCTTACCCACTTCCATAAATCCTGTTTTAAATATATAATTTTCTTCGTATGAAGCCAACAGTTTGAGAAAGCTTTACAGTCTGGAATCCATTATTTTTCTCTAATATCAAAAGAAACTTTTTATTTTGCATTTACCATGTTACGGAATACTTGTTTTACTATTATTACCTTATGGGGTTTTTTTTATATCCATTCCTTGAAAAGATAAATAATTAATATAGATTCTGCTCTATCTGTCTTTGGTCTTACAGCAAGAAATTTGCCTGGGCTAATAGAGAACTGACATCTGTGCAATTTTGTCCCTCTTTTTGTAGGGAATAGAGACAGAGAGGCCCATTTTACAAGTGGACAGATATGTATTTGCAGGAGAATATGAAGGTAGGAAAAATGATGTGGGTACGATCTCTCCTTTTTCGTGTGACCCAAAGAACTTTCTTAACATCAGTTAATTGCACTGTGAATGAAGAACATGGTCCTGTGAGGTGCTGAAGTGCTGGGTGATGTTTGTATAATACCAGTTTGAGTTCACTGCTATATTAGCCATGCATCCATGTTACTTACTGGAAAGTATGCCTGGAAGCTGACTCCAGGGTGCATCAGCTGGTATTTCTGCAGAGAAAAATATGGGACATAAAATACCTTAAAGGATGTGCTCGTTGTCTCCTGTATAAGCAGGACTGACATGTTGTGCAGTCTGTAGTTCTGCCATTTGCCTTACGGTTGACAACATTGGCCTGGAAGAAAATGATCTGGAATCCTCCCTTGTAGTGGCTTGCAATGACTGCGATACCCTTGTCTGTTCCTGAGTTGGCAGTGTGGTTACCAGCACCGGGCCTTTGTGAGGGGCTGGAAGTCATGATGTTCCCAGAGCTGTGCCAGTGGGTGTAGTATCGACAGCTGTTACAAATTAGTCTCTTAAGACTTTCTCACTTTGTCTTCCATAGATACCTTGGGAACCTGTGTGGTTTTTGAAGAAAACATAGAGCATGGTAATTGTTGTGATTTGATGTGGTGTTTGTTGTGGTAGCCTGGGAGATTAAAAATATTTATCTTGTTTCAGTTGCTAGTGGAATTCACTATAATGATTGGGGTTTGGGTATTGTTTTTTCTCCTCTCTTCATAGTAGATGCAGAAGGCAACCAAAAAGTACAGCTGAAGTACAAGTGCCACACAATGAAGAAGTTGAACATGACACGGACGCTTTTGACAGAAAAGAAGGAAGGAGAAGAGAATATTGGTTAGTGCCTCTGCTCTTATGCACAGGGACATGGACGGATTATGCTTAGGAGTGTCAGCCTTGATTAAGTGTTTGATTCAAGAGCATGAAGGAAGTTAGAGGAACTTTCTTCTTTAGGCAACAAATGCGTATAAATACAAAAATACAAACCAAAACACTTTAAAAAAAAAAAAAAAAAAATTCCTTCTGACTAGTGCTGCCTCCAGAAGTGGCTAGTAGGAGATTGCTACAGAAGAGTGTAGGACCAGGGGAAACATATGCTGATGTTCTCTGGTATGTTTTTCTGTCATCTAAAAGTTTTGGGACTAGTACTGAAATCACAGGTGCTGTTTAGTAGTTCTTCATTGATTTGTTTGTTTGTTTTTATTCGCATGAGTTTTTCTAATGACTTTTGAGTCTCTGTAATATCCTTATTAAGAAGTTCCATGTTGTATGTACAACTGAATTATCTTACTGAATTTAGAGTTAACTGTAAATGAATTGAACTTACTTGCAAAGACACACCTAGCAGACTGTTCATATTGATTTTCATTCTGTAGGCAGAACTCAATGCTTGTATGTTTGCTTCATTTCAGTGGTGGTTTTTCATATGGAAGTCAGTGCTTTTACATAGTCAGATATTGAGTATCCTACTTTATATAGTAGTACTCATTAGCAGTATCCTATTGGTTTTAGTTGCTTTTTTGCACTCAAGTCAGTGTTACTGCTTCATATTTTAAGAATCTGTAGCCGTTTTACATTAAATATGGGCAGTCAGCTGGACATCAGTCATAGGAGGTATAACATGAAATGTCATCTAGAATCTAATCAAACATCAGCATTCTTGTCAACACCATGTACCATTTCTTCTCTCCATATCATTAAGTAGGTAATATTAAACAGAAGCTATTACTTTTAAACTACAATAGGCTAGAGAATGTCTTGCTTCATACAAAGGGCTATTTTGTTCTGGAGGAGCAATAATGATGATACCTGCTGAAAAACACTTTGTTTCTGTGCCCTGACGGATGTTTAACATTGTGCATACAAAGTAACTACAATATCTTGTGATTTGGCAATATGTACTGCCTAAAAATCTAAGTGGGAGACCAGTCCTGGTTCTATCTGGAGTCTGTTGGATATGTGTTTGTGGTGGTTTGACCTTGGCTGGATGTCAGGTGCCACCCGGCCGCTCTATTCAGCAGGACAGTCAGGGAGAGAATGAGATGGAAAAGAGAGAAAACTCATGAGTCAAGATAAAGGCAGTTTAATAAAAAAAGCAAAAGCAAAGGCCGCATGCGGTAGTAAAAGGAAAACAAGATTTTGTTCTCTACTTCCTATTAGCAGGTGATGTCACTGAACCATGCACAAGGCCTCCAGTATTTGGATAAAACCCTATATCTATATGTCTTGGTTAAGTTGCTTTAGCCTATGCATGTTGTTGTTAATTTATCAACAGTTAAGTTCTCTTAATTTTAAGCTGGTCTTTCTTTGTTAAATGGCTTTCTGTTATTCATAGCCTTATTTTTCAAGGAATATAATAGTTTAACCCATGGTGACACTCACCACAAAAATCAGTGTTGGTCCAAATTCTTGAAAGGCATCTTTTATTTAATGTTGGTCAGGCTCAGCCTTAACAACAGTGAACTTAAACTAACCTGCTGTTAACTCCTTTTGTCACTAATTGCAATTTTCTTTCTTTGCGTTAGGTGGAGTGGAGTGGTTACAGATCAAAGACAGAGATTTTTCCTACAGCAGGCCCAATACGATTTGCAGCTTTCTGCGTGAAAAAGAAGATTCTGAGGAGTCAGCTCAGGCCCAAGACAAACTGACTGAAGAGTCAGAGGGAGAGGTGAGTGGTGGAGGAAATTCGGACATAAACTGTGATCTGGAGAAGCAGCACAGCTTGGAAATAGATGCCTCTGTTGCTCTGCCTGACAGCCCTGCTTCTGGGGCAGAGGATTCTCCTTCTGGAAGCATTGCCTTAGACGATGCCCCTCCCTGATACCAGCTCTGATCTTTTTAGAATTTCTTCATGGAGTTAATGGGCCAACTTTTAAATGCCAATTTTCATAGGCCATGACATGATTTCCAGTTTGTCTGAGCAATTAATAGAGGAAAGATGGACATTGTGTTCTTGTGCATTCCTTTTATGTTTGGATTATAGTGGGGACGGCTTATGTGTTTTTTAAAAATGGTGTTTGGAAATGCATGTATCTGCCTCAAAACTGAAGAGGAGGAAATGGTTACATAATTAAAAAAACCCTACCTTAGAGAAATGGTGATGTATTGCAGAGTCTGAAACATTTTGTAAAAAGAAAAAAGGAGAAAGAAAAAAAAATCATTGTTTAAAATAAAGTCCTGAATTTTTCAAGTATAGCTTCACCTCATATGTCATATTCAGCCCCCTACCATGTCTTTTCTTGCGTTGCAGTTACTGAAAATTCAAGTAGGTGTGGCTTTTATTACTTGTTTGATTACTCATCAAATTGCTTAGTTTTGGATTTTCTCTAGTGTCCTTTCTCATCTTGAGGGATCTTAGAAATCTTTCATGTGGGAAGGGACTTCAGGAGGTCTCCTATCCACTTCCTACTTAAAATAGGGTCAAAACTGAATCTGGGCCAATTTGCTGAGCACTTTGTCCAGTCAAGCCTTGAAAATCTCCGTGGACTAGTCAGCAACTGAAATCTAGGTCTTAATGAGGCATCTGTCATTCTTCCTTTCCCCCATTTTGTATATAATATAACGTATGTTACACAAAAGGAAGTATTTTTTGGGGGGGGGGGGTCGGGGGAGGGTTCCCTCCAGTAACTTCTTGGCTCTGGTCTTCTGTCATTTTTCTGAAGGTTTTTATGCCTTACTGTGTGCAAGGAGTATTTTAGCAGAATTGGTTGCTGACCTTTTTCAGCCTTTCCTTTCGGTAGTATACTGAAGCTGTTTCTTTGTTCTAATTTATCTGGGAATCAGTATTATTTTTCTTTAACATTTTATGTATATCATAAACCATGAGTTAACTTCATAATAATGTTTTTTAGATTTTAAACATTATTTATAATGCTCAATCTTTTTTCTTTCTGTGATTATTAGCCCTGACTTTTGCAACCATACTCGCTCTTTACCCATCTTTTCCCACCTTCCTCCCAGAAAGCAGGAGCTGTGCGTCCGCTGCTGCTGATAGCAAATTCTTCAGCTTTACTGATTTCACCCAGAAAAGCCCAACAAGTTGGTTATTTCAAGTACAGTTCAAAACTGGTGGGTGAGCAGGGGCGTGGAGTAAAATGGGTATTGGTTAAGTATGATTGCTGGATGTAAGATCACTGCCGTCATCATCCTTGCCTGGTTATTACCCGTCGTTCATGTCCCCGTGCCTAGGCAGTAGACTGTCCCAGCAGTTCCTTGCCATGCCTGGTATTAAGCACTTTTTCTTTGCACCTTGTGACAGCTAGCGGTGAATGTGACGCTCAGGCCACTGGATCAAATAAGCGTTCGTTTTCAGTGTTGGCACTTAAAAGATTTTTAAAAAAACTTTGGAAAAGGTTCAGAGACAAGTGGGCTTACAACAGCAGATGAGGTGTTGAGTTTACAGGAGGGCCGGGAGATGGGTATATTCCAAATTAGACGTAGGCAGTCAGGGGATGATCCTTTTTTTTTTTTTTTCTGCTTTAGGTCTTTGGATTTTGATGTGTATTTAACTTTCTTGTACCTCCAGTTTTCAAGTCACAGCCAAACAACCGGTCTCCTTTCAGCGGGGTTGTAGAAAAGCTCTTTTGTCTAGTTAAAATCCAATGCAGTATGTCAAATAGCCAAGATCTATTAAACCAACTTGTGGCATTTCATACTGTTTTACGTACCCTGCGCTGTGTAAGTCTCTCAGAGGGGAGAGAACGGAAATGTTTTTCTCGTCCTGTGAAGACACGGGCTAGCTGAACCAATTTCCAGGACGGAAACTGGGAGGGGATATAAGTAACCAAAAGCTGGACCGAAGTTTGTGACCAGGCCGTTGGTCCTGTTCTATTCTAAACGCTGCCTTGAGGACCCGATGCAACAACCTGAACAAATCTGAACAACTCTGACCAACTGACCGAAGGCCTGCAGGCTTTAGAATAACCAGAAGCTTTTTAGATTAAGAGTACATACCAGTTTTATAAGTGATGCTACCACATCGGGGATTTGAGGCAGAAATAAATCATCGGCGTTTGGTTTCTATTAAGTGCAAGGGCACGTTCTCCATCCGTAATAGTCGCGTTGGTCTTTCCAAGTAAGTGAATTTGGGGGGAAACTGGGCTTAAAATGGCATGGTTTAGCTGTACCACTTCAACGTGGTTCCCAACGCACTGGGGATGGGGGGAGAGTAAGCAAAAAGGTCCGAAATCGGTATCAGCCCCAGCTGCGTTACGTGCAGTTGCGTAGCTGTGTCGTTAATTAATCCGCACCCAGCACTGAGCGGGGACTCGCCGCTTAATTACGGGAAAGCAGCACGTAACTCAAATACGAAAGGCGGGGGAGCGCGCAACGCCTACGGCCTGTCCCTAAACGGGAAGAATTATTTTAAACGCCGGAGAAGCGCGCACCGCCGCAGCGC